TTTAAAGATATCTACTATATGCCAGCTTGTAGAGAAATGTTTGCTCTACAAAACTGCTAATTTCAGAAAATTTCACAGTTCGTTGTTGCGAAAATGCAAACCATTTTTTGAAAAACACGAAAAAAACTGTTGCGTGCTCATATCTAGCGTCAAGCCGAACAGTCACCTCTAACGCATCAGTTAGATATGTAATCACATTCCAGTTGACAAATATACGCCGAGACGCTAGTCAGACATCTGAAGAACACAATATTTATCGAAGGCACGCAAATTGTTAAAATGTCGAAACTTCTCAATCCAAGAATCAGAAAATAATCTAGTATCGCCCCAATTCATCTACATTACTAGATTTTTACTCGATTGCAATTATTTAGACAGTGGAAATCTAGTAATCGAGCAATTGCTAGATTTCTCCTAATTTGCAACTATCGATTTAACTATTGCTAGTTGCACATACAGACTCATCTGGTTAAAAGTCCCTCTTCCAACTAGTAATCTAGATGACAACTAGTCGTGTAACGCTCATTACAGAATAAATGCATCTAGACTTTGCCCATAGATGATTTTTGCTTGGGAAGTTCATAATATAAACGTAAAGTCATGTGGATCCATAAAACCAAAATTCAGCCGCCTTTAGTAAGCGTCCTCGATGCATTTCTTCAAAAAAAAAATCTATTCTTTGCTTACATTGTATGAAATCATATAACTTGATAGGTCACAGTATGATTGCCATCTGTAAACAAAGCATTTTTCGTGTGATGCTGAAACTTCTCTTTCATTGGTAAAAAAGACTTTAAAGTGTGATTTCTAGGACAATGAAGCCTTCTATATGAACAGTTATTTATAAACTAGCCTGACATTGTCAGATTAGATAAATTGTTTTGTTAAAACATTGAAAAGGTTATTAAATCGGTTTTTCTCGTCATCCAGATATCTTTTTATTTGTGACTATGTCACCCTTGTTTTTAGATATTAAACAGAAGAATGTCGCAGCAATGTTACAAAAAATATTAGAGTGGAATGATAAGAAGAGTATTGAAGCATGTTCAAAATCTTAAACAAAAATTAAAAACTGATTTTACCTTTTATTGCTCTTAATATAATCTTTTGATTCTGTTATTGATGAATCAAGAAAACTGAGTTTTTGATAATAATTAAGTGTGGTTAACGAAAAGTAGATAAAAAACAGAGTAATACACTTCTATTTGTACGTCGACAATCCGTTTACCGTTTAGAGAAGAAAAAAACAAAAAAAAACAAACGGAAACCTAATATTTAGAGAAAAAAACGTAAAGTGCCGATCAATGAACAAAAACACTTTTGTCTAACTTAATGTTCTTAAGAAGAAGAAAAAAATGAGAAAAAAAATTAAAATACAAATAAAATCGAATCAAATGCAACGTTGGCAAGATAAACAAAATTAAAATAACAATGCTAGAAGTGTGTATTTATTTAAATGGTATATGAACAAAAACAATAAACAAAATGAAAGAAGCACTCCTATTCTATTGTATTCTACTTACAAACACGGACAAGCACACTCAGTTTGATCGAAAAATTTGTTTGATTTAAATTAAATCAAATCAATCTAAATTGAATAATAATGGAGTATGAAAATAGCCTTAACTTCAAATACCACAGTAATAATACGCTGAGCACAAAAGTATTTTCAGACTTTTATAAAATAATGTTCGTCTATGCTGAAATTTTTCTTGTTGATACCGCTATTTATTTTGAATACTGATGTGGTAACTAACATACCACGGTAGAACCAAAACTATCCAGTAATAGTTTTGTTGTATGTACATCGTAATGGGCGATTTTACTATGCCAGAATTGAGAAATAAATATGACTATTTCTTGAAAAATTAATTCACAGATAACAAACCGATTTTTGGATATGATCAATCATTAGTGTAATGAAGGTCATTTTCAAGAGATGCTTCGCTCCAATATAAAACTTTTATAATTAACTTAGTTTTTTATGTTTTATTTAAATAAATTTAAAATCTTTAGAAAAAAATTGTGTATTCCCACATGTCTAATCGAATTCTATACTCTATTAGGTATGTACCAATCTGATAGTTCGCTATCGAACATGATCAACCCTATTTGAGCTGCTGAACATGATCGTGCGATTCAAAATACAAAAAGAATCTATCTGTACTTTCGAAGTTTCCAACAAAACTCTATAAAAAGCTCTAAGGTTTGTTCGATTTTATTTTTTATCCTATTTCCAGGTTTATCAAAGTAAAAATTAGAACAGGCTGTCCAAAGACTCTCTCAAAACTTTACCTTAAAGCTTTTTAGGCTTAGTTTTCATGAAAAACCCATTGTCCGATCTCCTCTATCCATGAACAAAAACCACAGATCCTCATCGGTTTTCAGCAAAAGTTGTTCAACAAATAACGGACTGCATTGCTTATTGTCATGGCTAGTAAATAAGGAACACATTTTTACATGAATTTTACTGAATGTGTGTGACAATGATTTTCTTTAACTTTTGACATATTCTCATCATTCATCACTACCTTTTTCCTTAGCCAGATGCACACTTTATGATATTTACTGATATCGTACTTCGTTCAGTTTTTACATCACGAAATAGTAAGTGATAGTCATCTTCGAATACTAGTGCGAAACTCATTTGGGAATGTACATTGCTAAACGATTTCAACAATTGTTTCCAATCATCTTGTTTCCTTTTCATAATAATAAACATACCATCAACATAGTGATGCATCAATACGATTTTTGTATTATTCAATTCTATTCTCTAGATTTTCCTTCATGATGGCAATGGTTAGAGCTTCCATTTTGTAAAAGTGTTTGTCGCAACAATGCCTTTTTATTACATTGATCTTTTTCAAAATACAATCTAATATAAATTCATTTTATTTTTTCAATTTGAACTATTCTTTCCATCAATTATGCAACTAGAACACTATTTTAAAAAGTTTTTTTTCCTAGTCAGTCAATAAAGAGAACATACATATACCGACTGTCAGTTTGATCTGTCCTACCTGTTATCCATTGTGAAAGTTTTTCAAGAACGTATCGTTTGTTTTTCAACTCTATTTACAAATATATTCAATTGATCATACTTCTTCATCAAACAGGAAATAAGAGTATGAAATAAAATAGCCTTTGATTTTATTGTTGAATATTAGTATTCAAAATCGACAAGAATAAATCATTTTACTTTTTTGTTTATTAAATATAACAATAAAATAAAAGCACGTTGAGTGTGCAAAGATATAAATAAATAAATCGTGATTACACACTCACTCATTGACGGATAAAAAAAAGAAATTAATCGCTGGATATGGATTTTATGAAAAACTTGTTTATCAACCCATTACTAACCACTAAAGCAGAGAAAATTGAAAGGTTTTTGTTTTTGTCAATGTTATTCTACATCACAATAACAACGTATCGTATCAAAATACCAGATGATAAAAATAGTAACAAAATAACTTAATTGTTTTTGAAATGCAAGAAAAAGAAGCAACTAAAATTATGAGAGAAAATTTAAAATTGATGAAAAAACTCTTTATTTTGTGCACTCATGCATAGCATTAGCCAAATATTCATTATTCTTTGAGGTAATACCAGCCATTGATATACGACCATCTTTTGTCAGATAGATCGAAAATTCTTTCGTTAAACGTTCAACCTAGAAAAAAAGAGAAATGAACGCAAATTACTCATTAAATGACACTCCACAATGATATTCTTTAATATAAGATTAAGAAAATATTCTCTCACACTTATTTTTGTTTTACAAGTATTATTACTAAAAGTTAATTTATCTCTCACCTGTTGTGCATTTAATCCCGTAAAACAAAACATTCCAATTTGATTCGTAATATGTTGCCAATTTTTTTGGGATCCTGCTTTATTTAAATTACTGACCAATTGTTTTCTCATTGTTATTATTCTATCGGCCATTTGTTTAACTTCTTTCAACCATAACTGTCGTAGATCTGGGTTTGTCAATATTTTAGCTGCAATACGTGCACCACCAATCGGAGGATTTGAATACATTGGACGAATAATGATTTTCAATTGTGACATAACACGATCAACTTCTTCTTTATCATTACATACTACACTTAGTGCACCTACACGTTCACCATATAAACCTTAAATAAATTTGGAATATATTAACGGCTATTGTAAAAAAACAAAACTACTACTAAAATAGTGCACAAATTTGAATTCGAAATAATACGATTTAAATCAATATAAAGAAGCAACAAAGATTCTCTCACCCATATTTTTGGCATATGATTGTGCTAATAATATATTATGATTGTCTTTAACGAATTGACGAACAGCATAAGCATCTTGGTCGATATTTCCACTAGCAAAACCTTGATAAGCCATATCCATGAACACTAATAAATTACGTTTCTTCACGACTGACGATAACTCGTTCCACTGATCGTTTTGAGGATCAACGCCAGTTGGATTATGCTAAAAAACATACATTATTAATAAATTATTGACGCTGACAGACATAATCAGTATTTTCACAAATTTCTCTCATTTTTAATAACTCTCTACATTTAAAACATCTGATAATACATGTTACTACATTTTATTCCCTCTTGTTAACGCTGGCAAGTGCATACTCGAGAGTAAAGAGTCCAATGAACAAATATTTTTACTTACAGCACACGCATGAAACAAAATAATGGAATTTTCTGGTATATTGTTAATATCTTCGATAGCTCCCTTAAAATCGAATCCAATTGTTTTTGAATCATAGTAACGATACGCTTTGACGTCTAATCCAGCATGCTTCATTATTGGAGTATGATTTCCCCATGAGGGATTTGGTAACCATATCGTTTTATTACCTTGAAACCACTTTGCCTAAAATCTCACAAAAATTCTAATAACTGTAATGCTTACTTGAAGAAATATTACTCACCAAAAATGCTGCACCAATTCTTAATGAACCTGTTCCTGATATACCTTGAACGGTGGCATTCTATAAGAAAAATTCATGTAGTGTTTAAAATACATTTATAATCCTGTTAACATACAGTTTGATTTTTAATAACATTGGAATCATCTCCGAATGCTAATTTAGCACTTGCTTGACAAAATTCAGCTATACCAGAGATAGGTGCATATTCTTTGTCTAATTTTTCTTTTAGAATCATTTCATCAGCCTAAATAATCATAATAAACTAGTTCACTTGTTAAATAAATAGTCGTTGAAAATTTTAAAAACCTTCTTGACTGATTCTAAGACAAAAGGTTTTCCTTCATCTGAACGATAAGCTCCCACGCCCAAATTAACTAAAATCAAACAGAAACACCCAAAATTCTAGTTACTAGTTAATTGATGATCTGTATGATGCACTCATTACTTTTCTTTGGATTTGAATCACGTTTAAAGGCTTCGGTTACACCCAAAATCGGATCGGGCGGTCCCATTTCCACATTTGACCAGAAGGAACTATGAAGAAAGAAAATAAATTCATAGACACTTTAAACGATTTCTTTTCATACTTACTTTGTCGAGGCTAATCGTGCTTGAGATACAGTTAATAGTAACTGTTTAACCTGTCTTAAATTACGACAAAGAGGCATCCTCTAGAATATTAACATGAACCGAAATCAAATCAAAACACTCATATTGTTCCAACTGAAAAATATTTAAATAAAAGAATATACAATCTGGAATAGTCGTCGCTTTTCTATATGTAAAATATTTTCAAATGTTGACTATCATGTTTTTCTTTCAAAAACATCGATTTAGTTAGATTTTAATCAAAAAAGAGAGACTAAGTTAAACAAGTTTTCCAGTCACATTTCTCATCGATCATCACACGATTGAGTTAAAGTTTTGAAAAACATAATAAAACTTTTCATAGTTAGGATAAAACAATAATCTTCCAGTAGATTAAAGCTGCGATAAAAAAAATACTTTAAGATTCGCCCAGTAAGAAAGAGGATGTCAGATCTTGTTTATGGTAATCATAAGTATTTATTGCCCCGACTCCCATGGCAGTATTATTGCCAGTGGCGGATTTAGGGGCGAAATCTTTGATTTCAAAGTGTTCCTTCTAGTTTAAAAATGTGGAAATCTGTTCTTTCTAAAAATTCTTAAAAAAATCTTACATAATGACTAGTTTTCTAAAAAGCTGCATCCACTGGAAAAATTTTCTAAAATCCGCCACTAATTATCGCGCTGTTCTGTATTTTGTGTTTTCAACATCCATAATAAACTTCACTCCTTGAAAATTCGAATAAAAAGCTCTACCACAATGTTGCTAATGAACATTCGTATTTGTAAATATGGGTTCAAAGTGCAAGATTTACATATACATTTTGTTTCTGTAACAACAGTATAGCAGTTCTAAAAATTTCTTCTAGATTATGTGGAAAAAGATTTTATCTTTCACTATTTCATTTAATAAAAATATGTTTAAAAAGTATAAAGAACAAAAAATACACCTCAAATCATAGATTTCTTCCACACATCTGATGGATCCAACACAAGTGAGCAATAACATGAAACAAAATCAAAACAACACTCTGCTATTGTGCGCAAAATGTTAGCGACTGGTTATTCTTACTATTTGCTCAAAAAGCTTGTTGTCATCAATTCTTCATTTTCACTATCATCGTTATCATTATACACATATCAACACAAATCATTTCTAATATCAACATAAAACTCATCCTGATGACAAAGCTGAATTGCTGCTGTTTTCTGTTGAATCATTCGATGTTACACCTTTACCACAATCAATAACGCATTAATTCTGCTTTGAGCATTTCTGAAACAGAATTATATGGAAGGGTTGATCGTTTTCGTACCGGCACGAATTGAACACATCAATTAACAAGTCTGTCAGCGATTGACGAAAATAAATATTGTGCACAATAAATATAACGAATGCATTCTAGATGGAACTGAATAATCAGAGTGTTCGCAACAAAAGACAATCGAACAAATTTGATTTTGGAACTTTTTATTGAAATTCATTGTCTAAAAACAGAAAGAATATTCTAACATCACATCGAGGTGTGGCCAAGAGTGACGGAATTTCATTTTTTCGCATCCTGCAATTTATAACTCGCAAATAGCGAAAGCAAATCTTCTGGAATTTTTATCATAGGTAGTAGAACTCCTACTACCAAAAAAAATTTCATTAGAATTGATTGAGCCATACAAACGTTATTGGGAAAGTAGAGATCGTGACGAAATTTCAAAAAATAGAATATTTTTTGGACATTTAGAGACCTTCATTATCGATTATCGAGTCAAATAAAAATGTCAAAATATCCTTCGTAACGGATATTCATCCTTTTTTATATGGTTTCATTGCAGATGGTTAAACTCAAAGGCGAAGATATTCAGAAAAAGATATATAGACTGACATGTGCTCTGTTTGATGTAATTTAAATTAAAGTTAACAGACTTGTTTAACTCATTGAAAAAGTGTTTACAAAAACTGATTTTCCAGAAAAATCTTTTGACTCTAAAACCTGGTATAAGTATTACAACTTCGAAAAAATAATCCATTTTTGTAGAGAATTCTCTATCGATTATCGTAGTTTCGAATTTTTTTCAAGAAAATTGCAATTACAAAATTTTAAATTAAAATTTTTAAAGATGATTTTCGTGATCAACGTGCAAAACTACATATGGTGGTGTGCTTCTCGACTTAATTAGGTAGAAAATTATTTTTTTAACCTGCTGATTTGAGGGAGACCGTTAGCTGGTCACGCCGATAGACGAAAAAAAAGCAGAAAAGCTATTGTGCGTTATTTCAGAAACCCCCTATCACCGAAAAAAAAAATAAAGTTGGTTTTGAGTTGCTAAAAAGTGCCTTTTCGTATGCAGCACACTCGATAATCCCGAAGATTTTTTATTGTTGGCTAGGGGTACTTCCAAAGGTTTACGAAAAATTTCGAAATAAAATGGCGCAAAAAACTTTTCATGGGATAATATTAGTTTCAAACTTTTTCGTAAACGTTTGGGAGGACCCCTCGTCAAAAATAAAAAAGCTTCTGGGTTATCGAGTGTGCTGCATACGAAAAGGCACTTTTCAGTAACACAAAACCAACTTTATTTATTTTGTTCCAGTGACATGCTGTGCAGCAAAATAGTTCTATTTCAATGTCGAAAATTGCAGCTACTATAACAGTTTCAAACGGTTTTGTCACAATTATTTGGACTAAAAGCATGATTTACATCTCTACTCAGAAATAAAACAAAATAATTTAATCTGATTCAATAGTGTCGCATCGGTAAGCTACAACCAACCAAACCACAAAATAAAATAAACGTAGTCAAGCGAATGCGTTATTGGTTACATTATTATGAAGACTATCGTTGCTAAAGTATAGATTAGTAAGTCTATCTGGAACTGAAAAAAAGCTGTAGAAAGCAAACCGAAAGAAAGTTTGCAAAAAAGATTGACTAGTAATTAACAGAAGCATCCACGTGCGAAAGATGACGCTACATACGATAAGAACAACTGAAACAACATAAACATAGAGGCTACGAGATAAACTGTGATTGAAATACAATACAACAGCTGTTTTCCAGTAAAAAAAGTGCATAGAATTCGATTTTGACTTTACGAAGTTGAACGGTTGTTTCCCGCTAGCCGTCAGGAGTCACTTTCTACGTCTTTTCATGTAGAAAGTGGCTCCTGACGGCTATCTTTGACGGCTACCGGGAAAAAACCAAGTTGAACTAATATTAATTTTCTGCGATGATTATCCTACTATTTGGTATACTCATTCCAATCGGTCGATCAATATTATCGAGAATGGCTTGTTCTACACAGGTTCACCTAGTTTTTAGAAGATATTTAGCAAGCAAGACCTTGCTAAGCTACTTTTGTAGAGCTCGTCGAGTTGTCCAAGAATGCGTATTCAATTTTAGTAAAAGTTATGGGAAACTTGCATGAGCTAGATCGAAAGGTGATATTTTGGAGAAAAATCCCCACCGGAGATGCTCGATTTGAACAACACCTGTTGTAAAAAATGCGAGATGATTATTCGATAGAGCATCAAAAACTGTCTATGTGAAGTGATTTTCAAGCATATGCCTCTAGATTTCATCGCTCAGCTAAATTTCAAAAATACGAAAATCCTATATATTTCCGTGATTACATTTTGTGAGTTATGATGAATCGGGTGCACTAATGTTAACACAGCATTTCAAATGTGCTATCTGCGAGGGTATATTTTACAGTGATTTCAATGTAAATTCAGTACCATTAGCAAAATGTAGCTCAGTTATAAGAATCTGTGTGTCGGATGTACCAGATATATTTTCAGTGTTTCTAGCAACGGTTCTACTCCAATCCAACTAGTATTAATCTTACATTATCTGGATCGATTAACTGCTCTTTTGAATACTTAGGATACTCTTGATGCTTAAATTTTAGATTTATATTGTATAGTAAGCATTGCAGTGAACTCTTAGCGATATAGCTTTGCTTTAGATGTATATACGAGATTACTTTCGAAATAGCAAGTTTTTTTCTTTTGGTTATTGTAGATTTAAATGTCACTCAAACATAATGATCGAAGTGCGTGATTTGATCTATCCCGTTGGAACTGTACACAAACCAGCATTCACTTATGCCTTATTAATGTCTTGGTTTTTTGTTGTATTATTTTCTTATTGTTATTTGGACAAATCCAATTTAATTTCGCTAATTAAATTTAAAACAAGGAGTTTCTTAAAAAATTAAGTTAAAAAAAATAAGTTTGAACGAGCAAAGAGACAAAAATAGTCTTGATACTCATTGCTTGTTCTTTTTGTATTCATTTATTTATTGTTCGTATTGTTTCACCTATGTACAATATTTGTATGTGATCATGTTTATTTTTTGTTTACTATTTTTTCAAAAAAAGTTGACAAGTACAGTCTTTCTCTTAGTTCTATTTTCTATGGAGATATCTTCAACAACTTATGCTTAGATTTGAATAATTTCCAGGAGAAAACGGTTAGATTTAACAAAAATGAATAGTCTGTTAGAAAACCAATCGCATCCGTTATGAAAGTCTCCGTCAAGAGTCTTTCTTTTCTGGCTTGATGTGGCTAGTTTATTACTCATTATATTGCGTTCAATCTGAAGAAAAGAATAAACATTGCCGCGAGATTCAGCATGACCGAAAACCTATGTTTTTATGCGAATGTGAGCTCGACTGAGTCAAAAAACGTGCTTTTCAGGTGTCTCGGCCCATGAGGCTCAGTACCCGAACGGAAAAACCTGCAGCTTGCGTGGCTTTGTAGAACAAACCGTGGGCTATCAAATGAATTGATTTGGATCGAAAAGTCACTGGGTGATTTTCCATATATCTCCGAAATACCATCTGAGATTACGTGAGAACTTTGGTTTCTATATACAGTTATCTGCCCCGATCTTGGCTACATGATGGTAACCCGATCTCGTTCGCTCTTTGCGTTCCGAAGATATTCAACTTCTCCAGTTGAAATGGATTCATTCTATTCTGAAATGGACAGTAGTTCACGCAATAATTTTTTAATCTCAAATAACCGATATGTCATTCCTATAATGTTTGACATTCGCTCTCTTTTCTACTGAGATCATCAGTAA